GGTGGGGCCCAGTGGGGAGCCCTAGGAGTTCCCCTGTTCATTCCCTGGCCCTTTTCAAGGTGACCTTTATTTGGGTTTGTTTCCTTGAATTTGGCTCGTGCCTCGAGGTTCTGTTCTCGGGTGTCTGTTCTCTGCCTGGGTTTGGATGCCCGTCCCAGGTCACGTCGGGGTGTGGTTGTGTGTCAGCATGCTGGCTGGAGGCTTGGATTTAGACACTTTTAATCATTAATTTCCGTTTTTAGTTTTTAACTTGAAGTCAGACTGTCCTTCAAAGGCAGCTCGAGGGATTCCTCCCTGCGAAGCGTGTCCCAGCTCCACAGGCCTCGTCTCCCGGACGTTCCCACCGTTCCTGGCTCTTGATTTTTTAAACTGACTTTTTTTCTGAAGAGGAGTTGGTGCTGATCAGAGTTCCTTTGCCAGTACATAGGGGACACAGGCAAGACCTCCTGCGGAGTGTGCCTGTCTGTGCAGCCAACACAAGCTTGTTTCCTCTTGTGTAATGAGAGGTGGGTGGGTAATAAAAACACCTGTTTGCCCCGGCTCTGCAGACACCTCCCTGGGAAACCTGACGATTTAATGACAACGTATGAACCCAGGGAGGGCCACACCCAGGAAGCCGTGGGCTCGGGGCTTAGCATTCTCCCAGGTTTCTGGAGCAGATGAGGAGCTTGCAAGCTAAGTGGGTCCTGGGGCGTGTGGATGGGCCTGCCCGGCACCTCCCGTCGGTCCCAGACGGTGCTGTGGAACGGGAGGCGCTGTCTGTTTCGGCCACTCTCTCCCTGGGCCAGTGGTCAGAATCCATCCCGATGCTGAGGGCCCTGCGGTTGAGAAGAGAAAGGAAGACAGAAGCAGCAGGCAGGCATTGTCAATAACCTTTAGCAGGAGCTTCTAACCCACATTCCCTTTCTGTCACCTGCTGGTCACGGCAGAGCAAGGAGCCAGGACACAAGCTGTGTGTCATCTGTGTCCGGAGCTTCTGTGGTCCCCAGTCACGGAGCTCCCTGAAGCAGCGTTTCCCTTTTCTAAGAAGGCTGCTCCCCCGAGAGCTGCTCCATTAGCGGGCACAGGGCAGCCAGCAGCCTCTACGTGAGCGTTGGGGCACCAGCCCACTTTCATGGTGTGGGCAGCATTCTGAGTCCTTAGGAACATTAACTGACTTCATCATCTCGGCAACCCCGTTAGGGTGCTGTCACCCCCACTGCAGAGTTGAAGGGGTTGAGGCTCAGTGACGAAGTGACTTGCTCAGGGTCATGGGGTTTGGTGGTGTTGCTGCCTGAACTGCGGTCAGCCACCAGGAGGGTGTTCGGTGAGCACCAGGAAACACGGGAAACACAGAGGGGACTGCCCCCGACCCTGTCCTCCAGGTGCTGACTGTCTAGATCAGGGTGGGGAACATCCGGCCCGTGGGCCGTATCAGGCCTGAGCATTTGGTCTGGCCCTGCCAAGGCAACCGCAGGCGGGACTCAAAATTGAATAATTCTAGTAGCTGTCTTCAGAGCAACATAAACTTAAGTGAACGACGTTATAAATATCCAAAAAGGTTCCCACCCCGTTCGAGTGGGACAGACCAAACCGAGCCAGCGGAGCAGAGTGCCAGCAGTACCAGGAGCGTCAGCGCAGGGAGGGGCACAGAAGGAGGGAGGCTGTGAAGATGGGAGGGGGCCCCATGGTGTCCTCCCTCGGTCGTGCTGCTGTCTTTGGGGGTACGGCATTGGACAGGACATTCCCAGTAGGAGGGACTGTTGGGGGAAATGATTGCAGGCACAAAAGGGCACGGGTTAGGTGAACAAGGGGGCCAGGGTGGATGGCTTTCGCGTGTGCCAGACCACGGTGTTCGGCCCGGTCCTAGAGCTCACAGGACGGCATCTGAGGCCCAGCGGGGACCTGATCGCTGTGCGAGTAGCAGTGGGAGTCGCAGGCTGAGGCAGGGAGACCGGAAGCCCAGCAGGGGAACTTGCAGAAGTCCAGGCGGGCGTGGCGGTGGCTGTGGCTGTGGCTGGAGAGGGCTGGCAAGGTGTTACCCTGAAGGTCAGGCGCACTGGGGCACTGGGCTCCCTGAGGCCCGACCTTACGTACATAGAGCAGCTTTGCAGCCCAGCATCCGTGCCTGTGCCCACCCGCCCTTTGCTGGCCCTGGAGCACGGGTGTCCCACGGCGCCCAGACCTGCGTTTCGGGTGTCTCATCCGTTGGGAGTCAGTGTCCTATGTGGAAGCCTTGTTCTGGCCCCTGCTCTCGGCTCCGCAAGTCCTCTTAGAAACAGGACCGTGTGCGGCGGGTTGGACACGGGAGCGCCCGTCAGCGCCTGCTCTCTCCTGTAGGACTTCGTCTTCTACGCTCCCCGCCTGCGCATCAACAAGCGGATCCTGCAGCTCTGCATGGGGAACCACGAGCTGTACATGCGCCGCAGGAAGCCCGACACCATCGAGGTGCAGCAGATGAAGGCCCAGGCCCGCGAGGAGAAGCACCAGAAGCAGCTGGAGCGGTGAGCGGGCGCGGGGCGGCCAGTGGGGCG